AAAGGCGTCCCACAAAACTTTTCAAATTAGAAAAAAGGCACACCCTAAAATCATTTATCCTACATATCATACCTTATTACCTTATTATAAAGTAAAGGAAAAGTTTAAAAATAATATCAAAATTATATATTTTTAAAGGAGTTCAGTGTTATGTCATTTCTAGATGATAGTCTTCTTAATAGATTTCAAAATAATTTCTTGATTTAGAACTTGAACTATGACAAAGAAAAATTGTCATTTGATTTTAGAGGATATTTATCTATGATGAATGAAGATCAAAGAAAGATATTTGATGTGATAATCAAAATTTAATATCTAAAAGAGGAGGTTTCTTTTTTATATATGATTACAGGAGACTTGGGAAAACATTTATATAGAAACCAATGTCTACTTTTCAAGAACGGATGGTATGTAAGGCTGTTTTGAATGTTGCATCCAGTGACATTGCAACATTGCTTTTGCATGGTGGAAGGATAGCACACTCGAGATTCTCAATCTCTCTGGCTTTAACTGAGTGCTCAATGTGTGATATCAAACAAGGGGGGTCCGAAAGCAGAATTAATCTAACAAGCAAGTGGAATCATATGAGTTGAAGCATGTGTGATGAATAGATTTGTTTTTGAGGTATTGGATCACACAATGAGAGAGATATTGAGGTTCTACAATAATAACTCTAGAAATGAACCATTCAGAGGAAAAATATTAGTACTCGGAAGTGATTTTTGCCACTTCCTTCCAATTTTACCAAAGCTTCGATCGAGAAAATTATAAGTGCTATAGTGATTTCCCCAAAATAGAGGTTGTATTGTAAAGTTTTTACGTTGAGCAAGAATAAGATATTGCATTCATCTCTGTCCTCTTACCTAGATAGGGATACACAAGCTTTTTCTGATTAGATAATCAAAATTGGAGATGGAAATCTTGGTCAAGTGATTGGTGGAATTGCTGACGTTAAAATTCTGACTGGATTCTTGATTCTTGACATAAGCTATCCTCCCAAGAGTATAGTACTGGAATTCACTTATCTGAAGTTATTGGAGAATATGAAAAAATATTCCTTTTTTAGGATTAGGCACCATTAGCATCCACTCTCGAAGTTGTTGAAATGATAAATGAGTTTGTCTTATTCCTCATTCTCAGTGATGAAAAAGGAGTAATTGAGTTATGATTCTTAATGGCAAGCAGATGTCAATGTAGGTGTTGATGCTTATTGGATAACATTTGAATTTTTGAATGAAATCAAATGTCCAGATGTTCGGGGATCCCAAACAAATTCAAAAAATAGTTTTGAAAAAAAGTGTACTGATTATGTTATTTGGATTGTATAATGGTACAAGATTAATTGTTGAAGAGGTACGAAAAAATGTTAACCGTGCAATCGTGGTTTCGAGAAATTGAGACGGGAAAAAGGTTTACATACCTCGAATAAATTTGGTACC